GGCCCAGCGCGCCCCCGGCCCCGGGCCCATCCGCCGCCGCCATGGCCCGGCCGCTGGTGCCCAGCTCGCAGAAGGCGCTGCTGCTGGAGCTCAAGGGGCTGCAGGAGGAGCCGGTGGAGGGCTTCCGGGTGACCCTTGTGGACGAGGGCGACCTGTACAACTGGGAGGTGGCCATCTTCGGGCCCCCCAACACCTACTACGAGGGCGGCTACTTCAAGGTGAGCGAGGGGCAGGCGGGCGCTGGCGACCCCTCCTCCGGCTCCTCGGGGCCCGTCCCCCGGCTCCCCGCCCCGCTGTTCCCTGCCCTCGCCCCTCGCGGCGCCCCCTCCTTCTGCACGGCTGGGTCCGTCGGTCACCCCCTCTGCCACCCCGTCATTGTCTGGCCCCAGGAGCCCCTCCATGGCCGCTTCTGGCCCCCAAAGGAGAGGCCCGGGACCTTCCCAGTTCCTCTCGGTGCGGGGCTCTGGTGCCCCCAGCCCCTGGTGTCCCCTCCCTTCAGCCCAACCCTGCCCTGCCCCCCACCTTCCCTGCCCGCTGCCCGCAGGAGACAAAGGGGCCTCCCCAGAACAGGCGCGCTGTTCTGGGGAGTGCCGGCCCTAGGGGAGGGAGCGAGGCCGGCCGGCCGGCCTGCAGACTGGACCCTCCACTTGCTCGGGTTCCAACAAAGGCCCGGATGGGGCCTTGGCAGCCGGGACCTGCTTGGAAGGCGGCCACCCTCACTGATAGCAGCAGGCCAGGCCCTCTGGGTTGCATCCTGAGCTTTACATAACCTGTTCTCTCCTGCGGTCACTCCCATCTTCCACCCTGTCCCTGGGATGTGGGAGCCTCGCACAGAACAGACCTCGGCCTGGCCTCAGAATCTTGGGCTCCTCTCTGGCCCAGCTGGCCTTTCTCAGGTTCTACTGAGCGGGTGGCTGCTTGAGCCCAAACATTTGTGGGCCCTACGTGTTGGCTGGATTCTGAGCAGTTCCCACTTTTGTCGGGAGCGGGGAAATGAGTGCCTTCCCCGGGACTGGTCACATTTCTGTCTGGTGTGACGAGGACTCAAGCCAAAACTTGGGCAGCTTCCTTGACCCCCCTGATCTGAGTCTAGACGTGGCCTGGGAAGAACCCCTCCCAGACGGAAGACTGCTTTTCCAGCCTGAGAGACAAGGCAGGGGGTCTCCCTGCAAGAGAGGTGGGGCCTGAGCCCTGGGCTGGGACACCCCGTCACCGCCTGCCAGGAGCCCAACTGGCCTGCCAGGTTCTGCCTGCCTGCAGGCCTGGGGGAGGGGCGAGCTGGTGCTGGGGCAGATGTCTGTGTTTGCACATTTGGCTGACGTTTTAGCCACGCCTGCTCAGTGGCCCTGAGGAGCAGCCTGGTCTGCTGTGGGCCATGCCTGAGTTGAGGTTCCCTCACAGCTTTGGTGGGATGGGGGGGATGAGTGTGGACAGCCCTGGGCTGAGTTTTGTGTCTAGAGTCCACCTTCCCCATACAGGGGAACAATTTGGGGCCGATCACCAAATGGTTTAATCAGCCCCCTCCTGCAGCCTCTTCTGTTTGCTTCTGAGAGCAGTTGGCTGTGAGGATAAGAGCTCTGCTCACAGCTGGGAAAGCGGAGTCCCATCCTGAGGCGTCCCATCCTGAGGCGAGGCGGGGACTCTGAGCGAGGCTGGGACTCTGAGCGAGGCTGGAAGGGAGGAGGGACGTGGGTTTCTGCCTGTTGCTGGCTGTTTGCAAGGGATTGTGGGTAGGGCCCTCCAGAACGGCTGTAGCGGGGTGGTCCTGTGTTTCTGGAGAAGGATGGGCTGGGAAGGGGGCTCTGCACATCTGATCACACCTGCTGTAGGGTGTGTCCCCAAAGAGCCCACACAGGACCCAAGGTGATCCTGCCATCTCCGATCCTCCTATCCCGACTTGGCTGGGTGAGGAGGGCTGGAGGGCCCAGCGTCACTCCCCAGCCAATTCCTACAGCCCTTCCTCCCAGCCGGCTGGCCCCTCCTTCTCCCTGTGAGCAGACAGCCCCAGGCACACTGAGGGGTGCCACAGAGACCTTGTCAGGAGCCCCTCCAGTGCTGTGTGCCCTCAGGCAAAGTGCTCTCCTTCTCTGAGCCTCAGTTTGCATAGTGGAAAAGGCATCTCTGGAACTTCGTGGGTGCTTGGGGCGGGGCGGAGGGGCCTGTCCCCCTTGCTCCGCTGAGGAGGCCTCAGGTGGTCTTAGGCCGTCACTTAGAAACCCAGCACTGGGCTGGGGGACCACAGGGCAGGGTCTGAGGCCCAGGTTCCAGGCTGGCTCTGGGCCTCAACGTGTTCAGTCCAGGACAAAGGAACTCCCCCCAGTGCTCTCAGCGTCCCCACCCAGGAGAGCAGTTCTCCAAAGACGGCCTGACGGGTCTGCAGCAGAGGTGCCCTGCACGGTCCACGGCACTGCCAGGGTCCCAGGACTGGGCTTAAACAGGCGGAGGACAGGGCACAGCTCTCACCCGGCTACCCCGTGACCTCCCTGTCTGCCTTCCTGACCCCTCAGAACTGACACCTGCGGGCAGAGAGCCCGTCAGCCCAGCGCTGACTCATCCCCGCCCACAGCGCCTGCCCAGGGAGGTGTCAGGAGTGGTTGCCCAGTGAACACGGGTCTATTTTAATCCTTCCCACAGGCTGGAAACTGAGGCCGGGAGTCCAGCACAGTGCTTGGGCACCCAGCTCCCAGCACTGAGGCCCGGGCCCCTCTGCTGGCCTTTACCATGAGTATGCTCTTCTCCTCGGGGCCCAGGCTCCAATCCCTCCCACAGGCCAGGGCCGGGCAGGTGCCCATGCCCGCCAGCAGCAGACGGGGACCAGGGCCAGCTCAGATGCGCCTGGCCCAGGCCTGTGAGGGGTGTGGGCAGCAGGCAGGGTCCCAGGCTGATGTCCTGCTGGCGTGTTTGTGGGCAGCCTGAGCTGGGGGCCCCTCACCCCCACCCTCTACCCTCCCTGCCAGGCGCGCCTCAAGTTCCCCATCGACTACCCCTACTCCCCGCCGGCCTTTCGGTTCCTGACCAAGATGTGGCACCCCAACATCTACGAGGTGAGCCTGACCCTCCCGGCCCCTGTGTTGTGGAGGGGTCGCGGACAGGAGCCCCTCAGACGCCGAGCCCTCCTATGCCGCACAGACTGGGGTCTCCTGCGTTTGGGGGGGTCGCGAACAGGAGTCCTGCGGACGCTGACCATTCCTGTGCCGCACAGACTGGGGACGTGTGCATCTCCATCCTCCACCCGCCAGTTGATGACCCCCAAAGCGGAGAGCTGCCCTCAGAGCGGTGGAACCCCACACAGAACGTCAGGTGAGGCCAGTTGGGGTCCTGGCTCCCTCTCGCCGGGCTCCCTGGGGCCTGCCCAGCCCTGGGTACACTGACACAGGGAGACCCCGGTGTCATCCTCGGGGCCATGGCTCCCTACAGGGTGGCGTCTATGGGAACCAGCTCCCTTCTGGAGTCCTACCAGCCTTTCTGCCCATTTCCCAACACTCCCTGCTCCACCCCTCTTCAGGAATGGCCTCTGGGCATCCTGTGTCCACATCTGCCTGTCCCTGGGGTCTCCCCTCCCTGTGGAACACAGCCCCCTCCGTCCTCAGGGCCAGACTGCTCACCCTGAGTGGCTTGGGTGCCCTGCATTCTGGCCCGTATGTCCCTGGTCCAGCCCCAGCCATAGCAGAAGTGGGTAGCAGGGGACCCACTCTCTGGGCAAGATGCTGAGGGGATGGGTCAGGCCTGCTCCGGTGGAAGGGGGAGGTCCTGGCCTCCGCTGCCCACCTGCTTCCCATCCCAGAGCCAGGCACACGGCAAAGGGTACGAGGCGGTGGGGAGGGGGCGGGACAGGTCCAGGGTGTGGGGCTCCCGGGCAGGCAGTACTCCAGGCAGGCTGGGCTGGGCCATGAATGCCCCCCACAACTGGCTCATGCCCCCAGGACCATCCTCCTGAGCGTCATCTCCCTCCTCAATGAACCCAACACCTTCTCTCCGGCCAACGTGGATGCCTCTGTGATGTACAGGAAGTGGAAGGAAAGCAAAGGCAAGGACCGGGAGTACACGGACATCATCCGGTGAGCGGGGCCCGGCTGGTGGGGCAGGGGGCCGGGCTCCGGCCTCAGTCCCCGTCCTGGTCCCTTCTCTGAGTTCTGGAAAATCCAGTGCTTTTTTCTCTTGGACTCATTGTGACACCACAGTCATGCAAGTGTGTTGTCCGCTGTCTGCTGTCCTGCACAGCGGTGCCATGCACGTGGGTGTCGTGGCGCGTGTGTGTGCACCTCCCACTGGGGCATCGTAGCGCAGTGTCCACCAGGTTTCAGCAGGTTTTGCCACAATTCCTTTGCTTTGCAAGTGAAAGGGTGGCAGTCCCACTGACCTCCCTCTGCGCCCCGGTGGCCCTGTCCTGTGTGCGAGTGCTGGAGGCGGGGGCGAGCACGTGCGAGGTCTGTTTGGGGTGTGCGTGTTCCACACGCTTCTGAGACACTGCTGCGCGTGCTCTCTCCCCCTCAGCGTGAGCAGCTCTTCCACTGGTGGTTGTGGGACTCGGAGTTGTTCTCCAAAGGCAGCAAATCCATCTGGCACTAGCATATGTAGGAGATCCCTTCTTTTATGGAAAATAATTTCTTTTTGGTTACAAAAGCTTCAGAATTTGTCAGGTTGAAGCTCCATCTCAGCGTCATTGTCTCTGTTCTCTCACGAATGAGCAGGTGCCAGTCCCCACAGCAGGGTCTGTACAAAATCTTCTTGGGAGCGTGGGCCCCGCGGGGACTGGGGTCCCCAGTGATGTCCCCAGGAGCCTGCTCTCCCCTCCCCGTTGTGTTTGTTGTGTCCTGTGAGCTGCTCTGTCACCATTGTCCTTTGTCACTTGTCCTCGTGTGGTTTGTGACTCATTTCACGGCTGTTAACCCTTCAGTAGGTCTCTTCCAAATAGCTTTTGAGTTTATCGTTTACTTCTTAGTAAAGCAAGTGAGTTAGACCTGCAGGCCCAGTGTTTCCCCAAGAAGAAAGGGCACACATCCTCACTCGGCATCCAAGGCCCCCAGCCCCGGCTCCTTCTGCCGCCTGGCTTCCTGTGCAGCCCCCCGCTGGGCTGGAGGCTCTGGTGTCAGCCAGGGGTCCCTCGGGGCTGGGACGCGGGCTACGGGCTGTCTGCTTTCCGCTGTGACCCCATGCCGTCCCCATGGCAAGCAGACCCAGCCCTGTGTCTCCCCAGGAAGCAGGTCCTGGGGACCAGGGTGGACGCGGAGCGGGACGGTGTGAAGGTGCCCACCACGTTGGCCGAGTACTGCGTGCAGACCAAGGCCCCAGCGCTGGACGAGGGCCCGGAGCTGCTGTACGACGACTACTACGAGGACGGCGAGGCCGAGGCCGGCAGCTGCTTTGGGGATGACGGGGACGCCGGGGATGCCTCGGGCCCCGAGGAGTCCTGACACCGCGCCCCGCCAATAAACGTACACGTTTCACCTCAGCTGCCCGCCTGTGTGGCTCTGGGTGCCTCCAGGGTGCGCGGGCTCCCCCGGCCTGCCCACCGTCCACCCTGGTCCGCTCGGCTCCGGAGGGAGGGCCCCCATGTGCTGGGCGCCGCTCGGGTCCTGGGAGCGGTGGAGCCCATCCTGCCCACGGCTCCCGCTGCTGGAGCCAGAGACCTGGGGTCTCGGCTCGTGAGTGGATGGGTTAACTTGGGGTCAATTCTCTCCTTTGGTTTGTTTGGAATCTAAATAAAGTGACTTTATGAGACGTCTAAGGACCCTTCTCTCCTTGGCCCCGAGGACCGTGGGGCCAGGCGGGGGCAAAAGCCCAGGTGGCCGTGTGCGTGTGACCTGGCTCGGGCAGGCGGCAGCTGCCCCTCCGAGCCTGCAGGGGCGGCGGGAGTCCTGAAAGCTCCGAGGGACAGGGGCCCATGCCCCCCAGCAGGAGGCCTGTCTGGGCTCGGTGATCTGGGGAGGGGGCCACAGAGATCCAGGGTCTGGGTAGGAGGGAACCGGTTTATTAAACGAAGCCCCAGCAGCCTGGGGGTGTGGCCATTAGAGGTCCTGCCCAGCCCCCAGCCCTCAGGCCTCCACACAGCTGCCTGGAGGTGCATCACACCAGGGGTGGGAGGCAGGTGTCACCCACAGCGTGAGCTGCTCCCAGGGCTGCGTTTCCTGTTATCCCAGAGCTGGCCAGCAGCCCCAGGGGTATCTGCACGGGGAGACCCTGGGGTCCTCAGCTCCTAGGCCACAGCCAGATCTGGTCACTGCCCGTCCTGTAAATAAAGCTTTATTGAAACAGGCACACCCACTTCTTAACCTACCACAGGTGGGTTTTTGAGCCGCAGCTTCAGGGCCGAGTGAGTGTGGTGCAGAGTGTTTGACCCAAAGAGCCAGAAACACTTAGTGTCTGGCTGTTCACAGAAGCTTGCCAACCTCTGTCCCAGCCCGCCTGCCTCTACCCTCAGGCCCATCGGTCTGGCCCGTCTGCTCTCCCTCAGAGCTGGTTCCTACACTTCTGCTGCTGTGTAACAAAGCACCCCAGACCCATCCACGCTGGGCCACCCCTGTGCACCATAAATCGAGTGCAACTTGTGCGGGTTGGAGGTCCATGGACACGGGGACTCAGCGCAGTTCAACCATCTAGGTGACCGGATCCTTGAGGCCTAGAGGTGTCTGGAGGCATGGGGTGAGGTGTACTGAGCACCCACAGGCACCTCCCCACGTCTCATGGGCTTCCTTGCGGCCCCAGGGCCGGGATGAGGGCCCAGGAGCCAGGCCGATCCCCCTCAGCCTCAGGGTCACACGGCGCCACTACCACTGCGGGTCAGAACAGGAACGAGCCCCCAGACCCAAGGGGACAGGGGCTGAGGTTGGTGGCCAGCTTGTAAAACTCCACTCTGGTCCCCTGTCCCCTTCAGACTGTCCCCACACTTCACCGCAGTACCTGAATGATACCCAAGGCCTCAGGGAGCCTGGACTCCAGGCCAGTTAGGTTGCCCAGTTAGATGCAGGCTGCAGGTGAACAGCAGGTGGCCCACCTGAAATCAGATACAAGCAGGCTCCCCTCACCCCACAATGGTGGAACCTACTTCCTGGGGTTCTTTGGAGGATTAAACAGTGGGACACGTGGACACAATAAATACTAATTTCTCTTCACCTCACCGCTTGCCTCCCTGGTGAAGACAGTGCCGTCAAAGGGGAGGGGGTGGTAACTGGGCTCCAGGGCCCTGGTACCCAGTGAGCTCATCCGCTATGGGACCCACGTTTCAGCAAAGGAGTTCTTGCCAATTTTTCAGGTGCGACCATGGCAATGGGGTTTTGTCTTCGGAGAGACCATGTCTTTCAGAAACACTTTCTGAAACACTTAGGGGTGAGTAGAACCAGTCAGGAGCAGTGTGTGCACTGCGAGGGCAAAGCTGTGAATGTCACCTCCCCCACAGGAAGGGGAGGTGTGGGCGACGGGGCCCGGGCCGGCACCAGGGCTGCATTCCCAGCGACATGGAGGCCCGCCTGTCCCAGCTGCTGCTGCTGGTCCTGGGAGCTCTGTGGGCAGGTGAGCGTGGGGGGGACACTGAGGCCCAGGATCCGGGCAGGGGAAGGCAGGGCACTGGGTGTCAGAATAGAGTAAGGAAACAACCCACTGTACCCAGATGGGGACCCATGGAAGAGACGTCCCCACTCCACAGAGCTGCTGTGAGTTTCTTTAAGTGAAGACCAAAGGCGAGGGTTATGGCCCTGGGGTAGAGATGAGGCCACATCAGGACAGATATGTTAAAGTCTCTGCTTTCTGACTTAATTCTGACCCAACAGAGAAGCCATGAGAACTGTGCAGATGACTCCTACCTTCTCTTTCCTGAATCCCTCAGGTGTGAGCATTTCCCGCAGTTGCGTTGTCACTGCCAGGTGTGGGTGTAAAATACAAACATGTGTAGTTGTTACTATTTTTCTGAACCACTTAATGGTGAGTTGTGGATGCACTTCCTTTCACCTCTCAATGCTTCAGGGTGTGTTTTCTGCAAACAAGGACATTCTTTTATGGATAGATGATGGATGGATGGATGTTGGATGGGTGATGGATAGATGGATGTTTGGATGATGGATGTTTGGATGATGGATGGATGGATGATGGATCACCCTTGGGATTCTGAGGACATTGTGTGCTCCTCACTCCTCACCCTCAAGCTGTATTCACAGAACATGGGGCAGATGTAGGCTGTTTGCCCCCTAGCAGCACCTAGGAGGCAGGGTGTGTTACATACATTTATATGTAACCCGAAGTTTCAGACTGGGAAACCACAGTTCAGAGAATGAGGCAGCCCACCCAGGATAGCCCGGCTGGGAGGGATGGAGCTGGAATTTGAGCCCCAGCTGACTGCCTCCCCAAACGGTATATGCTTGGCCAGAACTGGCACCTGGGAGCATGAGATGGAAGGACAGGGATGGTGGGCATCTCACTATTCTGGCCTGGATGGATGACAATTGTTCTGGGATAAATTAGGGACCCAGCAGGATGGGATCCAACCATTCATCCATCATCCTTTCTCCCTCCCTCTTTCCTTCCTGCTTTCCATCCATCCATCATCTTTCTATCCATCCATCCACCCGTCCATCCATCATCCGTCTGTCCGTGCATGTTTGCTGAGCACATACTGTCTCAGGCCTGTTGTAAACAAGACAGGCGCAGGGCCTGCCCGCACATCACTCACAGATTAGTGGCGATAGACAGGAAATGAGCAAGTCTGTGGGACATCAGTGTGTGACAAGTGCTCAGCAGAGAACAGAGCAGAGTAGGGGGAGCGGGGTTATACCAGGAGGCAGTCTCTGAGACTTTCGAGCTGATACCCAGTGAGAAAGCCAGACTTGGGAATGAATGCCTGGGAGAAAGGCTCTTTCCGCTGCCAGAACAGTACATGTAAGTGCCCTGAGGGGTCACAAGGGCGGTGCCCTGGAGGAGTAGCAGGGGCCTCAGTGCTGGAGGGGAGCGAGGGAGAGTGTGACAGAGGCGGGGTCAGCTGATGTGTGTCTTATGGGTCGTGGGGAGTTTGGACATTTAAAGCATGATGGAGAATCATAGGAAGAATTTTAGCTGATTAACACTAAAGCATTTTTTTCAATCCTTTTAAACTCATGATTGGTTTTAGAACAATTTTAATAGCTTTATTGAGATATCATTCACATAGTATACAATTTACTCATTTAAAAAGAGGACAATTCAGAGAATTTTAGTACATT